CATACAGACCTGTGTGTCTCAGCAAACATGCTGAAGGTGACAACTGTTTCATCTGTTCCACGTTTATCTGTCCCACAACACCACGTGTGCTGTTCCCAACACACAGCATACAGATGAAAGCAAGACAAAGTTTCTGGAAGGGACGCCAATTAGGGAAAGAGAACCATAAACAGAAATGCCTTTAAAAAGTTATGTCTGGGCTGGGCACAGTGGCTCATGCCTGTAATCCCAGGACTTTGGGAGCCTGAGGCGGGTGGATCACAAGGTCAAGAGATCGAGACCATCCTGGTCAACATGGTGAAACCCCGTCTCTACTAAAAATACAAAAAATTAGCTGGGCATGGTGGCACGTGCCTGTAATCCCAGCTACTCAGGAGGCTGAGGCAGGAGAATTGCCTGATCCCAGGAGGCGGAGGTTGCGGTGAGCCGAGATCGCGCCATTGCACTCCAGCCTGGGTAACAAGAGCGAAACTCCGTCTCAAAAAAAAAAAGTTATGTCTGGCCGGGGGCAGTGGCTCACGCTTATAATCCCAGCACTTTGGGAGGCCGAGGCGGGTGGATCACGAGCTCAAGAGATCGAGAACATCCTGGTCAACAAGGTGAAACCCCATCTCTACTAAAAATACAAAATTTAGCTGGGCATGGTGGTGCATGCCTGTAATCCCAGCTACTTGGGAGGCTGAGGCAGGAGAATTGCTTGAACCCAGGAGGCAAAGGTTGCGGTGAGCCGAGATCGCACCATTGCACTCCAGCCTGGGTAACAAGAGCGAAACTCCGTCTCAAAAACAAAAAACAACAAACAAACAAACAAAAAAGTTATGTCTTAGCGGGACATGGTGGCTCATGCCTGTAATCCCAGTACTTTGGGAGGGCAAGGCAGACGGATCATCTGAGGTCAGGAGTCCAAGACTAGCCTAGCCAACATGACAAAACACCGTCTCTACTAAAAATACAAAAATTAGCTGGGTGTGGTGGCACGTGCCTGTAATCCCAGCTACGGGGGAGACTGAGGCAGGAAGAATTGCTTGAACATGGGAGGTGGAAGTTGCAGTGAGTTGGGATCGTGCCACTGCACTCCAACCTGGGTGACAGGGCAAGACTCTCTGTCAAAAAATAAAAAATAAAGGATAAGATAAAATGTTACATCTTGTGGTGGAAAACCAAAGCCAGGCCGGAAGCCACAGAGCACCAGGAGTGTTGTGACTTTACAATGGCAGGTCAAGAAAGGTTTCTCTGAATAGGTAACATCTATGAGGAGATCTACAGGAAGAAAAGCAGGGAGCTATGCAGTGATCTGGGGAAGTGCCCAACATGAAGGAAACAAATGGAGAGGCCCTGAGGCATCTTCCAGATAGTGACAAAAGGGGCCTTCCAACATCCATGAAGCCCACAGGGCAGGGGCTGGAACACAGCAGAGAAGCCACCAAGAGCTGGTGAGAGTCCCATTTCCCAGAAGTGAGCCATGTGTGGGAGCTGCACCCAGATATTCTACCTCTTACACCAATGTCCTTTGACTTCAAAGGATGCTATTAGGGACCGCCCCTCAGAGACAAGATATGACCTGCAGCCCTCTGGACCATCCCCTCAGGGCCTGACAGGAAAAGATTTCCAGGCCATGTGACTGAAAGAGGGCACCCTCACTCACCATCCTCCAGGCCTCGGCCCCGGGACCTGGGCTTGATGCCCACTACTCCAGTACCTGCATGCACCTCAGGGGTTTCAAACGTGGCTGGAGTCACATCTAGGGGAAGAGGGGGGTTAAGAATCAGAGCGAGCCTGAGGCAATAGTTTAGCAGGCTTTCCCCTCTCTGCCACCCACAGGGTCCTCATACAGGGTGGTGGGGGCTCCCGGGACATCTTGCCCAAGGCAGAGCCAAATTTGATGGCAATCTGGCGCATCCGTTCCAAGTCTCCATTCTCCTCGGCTTCCAGGTACTCCTTCTGTGCCTGCAGCTTCTCCACATCAGGAAAGAAATCCCTTTGGATGACTGTCTGGAGGCCCTGCCAGGAGAGATCAGGATGAAAATCAGAGCTGCTGTCTGGGCGCTCCTGCCTCACAGTCCACTCCTGTACATGCTAAGGCCCTTACTGAACCTCCTTCAAATTGTGTTTTCCCAGTGACTGGGGCTGGCTTGAGGAAGCTTGCGGGTACTTTCTAGCAAGGCTGCACATCCCACATGCTAGCCATGCTACAACCTCTAACATTATACTAAACACTCCTCTCATGTCTGTGAAACCCTTCTGTCTCGCCCTTGCTAACTGGTCATTCTCATTCTCCATTAATGGCTCCCCAGCAGCCAGACCAATGTGGATGCTGTCACTTTCATTCCACACATGACTTTCTATTTCCAATTTAAACCTTTTTTCCTGGCAGGGCATTATGGCTCATGCCTGTAATCCCAGCACTTTGAGAGGTCAAGAAGTTAGGAGTTGGAGACCAGCCTGGCCAACATGGTGAAACCGCGCCTCTACTAAAAACACAAAAAAGTAGCCGGGTGTGGTGGCGGGTGCCTGTAGTCTCAGCTACTTGGCAGGCTGAGGCAGGAGAATGGCTTGAACCCATGAGGCGGGGGTTGGTTGCAGTGAGTCAAGATCTCGCCACTGCACCTCACCCTGGGCGACAAAGCGAGACTGTCTCAAAAAATAAAATAAAATCAAAATAAACCTTTTTCCTAACTTCAGCCAGTCACTACCAACGGTTGAGATTCTCAAGTCTGCACCTCCCTGCAGACCTTGCTCCTGAGCTGCATATCTGGGCATCCAGTCGCCCGTTAAAACCACCCATCTGCATATCCCAAAACGTGTCCCGAATTAAACAGGCCTAAAACCAAACTGACTTCCGCCAATCCCCATGTCAGCTTCTCCTTCTGTGTGCTTGTGGTGGACCAACACCTACTTCAAGGGGCGACGGAAGTCCACTCACTCGAGATGCTGTCACAACTGCAGTCTCTTTCGAGGAACCCCAGCGTTCATACGTGCTGCCACCGCTCTTTAGAAAGCCCTCTTTGCCACCACCCTTCCAGTATGTCAAACTCCTACTCCCACTTTTTAACAGAAAACCTTATTTCCCTGATCCCCATCTCATACAGAGAGCCTCTCCCTCTTTTTCCTGACAACACTGCTACAGGCCTCCTCCACCAAAGACGTCTTCCTCTTCTCTGTTTACTTGGCTCGTGGGACCGTCCGTCCCCCAAAGACAGGGACTCCGGCTGCTCCACTCCCATAAGGAGATGGAGTGTCAATATCCGAGAGAGGGAAACCGAAGGGAGCGGAAAGCAGGGGAGGGGCCCAGAAATCGCCCGGGTCCGCACCGAGGTCGTACCTCGATATACTCTTCCTCGTCCAGGACCCTCTGCTTGCTCGTCGCAGCCCCAGCCTCTCCAGCCTCGCGCTTCCTCGGGGGTCTGGACGCGGCGGGGAGCAACAAGGACGAAGCTGATGCGCCGGGTGTCTCCATCACTATCCCAGGAAAAAGCTCGGGCGCCGTATGCGCGTCATAGGGTGAAGGGGGCGGAACTGCACCATTTGCGCAGGCGTCTCCAATAGTTGACCAATGGGAAAGCTATAGATCTAGAAGGCCAGCCCGGGCTCCGTACAGACGTCAATAAAAATGCTACACCTTATGGGAGTTGTAGTCTTTGTCCTGCCTCCCCCGCTATTCATGCTTGTCAATGCTGTGAACACGAGGAGGCGCTGTGGCGGTGGTGGGGGGGGCTATGGAGCGTGTCCTTCATGCTAGAAATTCTAGCTCAGCAGGGTCCAAAGGCTTTAGCATTCCAATTTCCCACAAATTAAGCACTACGAATGCTTCGAGATTATTCAACAAAAATACACTTCAGAAAATTTGCTTATATAGAATTTTTAAGCTTTATGCAAGAAAAGGGCCTTAAAACAATTTTATTTTTATATTTATTTATTTATTTTTTGAGACGGAGTTTCGCTCTTGCTGCCCAGGCTGGAATGCAATGGCACCATCTCGGCTCACTGCAACCTTCACCTACCAGGTTCAAACAATTCTCCTGACTCAGACTTCCGAGTAGCTGGGATTATAGGCATGCTCCACCAGGCCCGGCTAATTTTATATTTTTAGTAGGACTTCCGACCTCAGGTGATCCGCCGGTTGTGGCCTCCCGAAGTTCTAGATTACAGGCGTGAGCCACCAAATCTGGCCAAAACAATGATTTTTTTATAGGTATCTAACAAAAGATAAAAGAAAGAACAAGATGGTGGTTCAATTAAGAAATGTCTAGTTAAAAATTATTCTGCAAACCCAGCACTATGGGAGGCTGAGGTGGGTAGATCACCTGAGGTCAGGAGTTCGAGACCAGCCTGGCCAACATGGCGAAAACCCATCTCTACTAATTATACAAAAAAAAAAAAAAAAAGCTGGGCGTTGTTGACGCCTGTAATCCCAGCTACTCAGAAGACTGAGGCTGGAGAATCGCTTGAACCTAGGAAGTAGAAGTTGCAGTGAGCTGAGATAGGGCCATTACATTCCAGCCTGGGCAACAAGAGCAAAAGTCTGTCTCAAAAAAAAAAAAAAGATTATTGGGCCCCCAAATGCCAGAGTGGGCTTCCTAGAAGAGGGATAATTCTAATTCAAGGCCAGGCACAGTGGCTCACACCTATAATCCCAGCACTTTGGGAGGCCCAGGCGGGCAGATCACTTGAGGTCAGCAGATTGAGACCAGCCTGGCCAACATGGTGAAACCCTGACTCTGCTAAAAAAATATATATAAAAATTAGCTGGGCATGTTGGTGGGTGCCTGTAGTCCCAGCTACTCGGGAGGCTGAAGTAGGAGAACTGCTTAAATCTAGGAGGCAGAAACTGCAGTTAGCAGAGATCATGCCACTGCACTCCAGCCTGGGTGACAGAGTGAGACTCTGTCCATATATATATATATATATATACACACACATATATATATATACATACACATACATATATATATGTGTATATATATATATATATGTGTGTGTGTGTGTGTGTATATATATATGATTCAAGTGGACAAGAAAATTGCCTAGGCATTTTTTAGGAATTTCTTCCCAAAAGGAGGATGTGAATTATGTTGGGACAAATAAATTCTGCCCTAGAAAAATTTAGTACAATTTTACTTTTACAACATGCAGGCATCCTTCATTCGCTGGGAAGTACAGCATGCTGCCGCTGCCCTTGTAGAGGTGACAGTGGCATGGGGAAGATAAAGACACTTGTTAGATCATCCCATAAATAGGTGTAAAATTCCAGCTGTTGTCTGTGCAAGAAGAGTTTGTACTTGGGGAATCTTGACCTAATTCGGGAGGTCAGAGAAGTTTCCCCAGGCAGAAAGGAATTGCAGATTAAAAAGATGAACAAATGGGCATTGGTCAGGTGGAAAGAGCATGTGCAAAGGCCCAGTGGTGGGAGGGAGCAAGGCAAGTTCCAAAGAAGACCTTTGGAAATGCAGAGTGCAGTGAGTTGTGAGATGATGCCAGAGAGGCAGGGCCAGGCTGCACGGGGCCTTGTGGGATATGGTGGGGTGATTTGTCTTTATTCTGAATTGAGAGGCAGGCCAGACAAAGTGGCTCATGCCTATAATCCCAGCACTTTGGGAGGCCTAGCAGGTGGATCGTTTGAGGCCAGAAGTTCTGAGACCAGCCTGGCCAACATGGCAAGACATCATCTCTACAAAAAATTTTTAAAATTAGCTAGGTGTGATGGTGCCCATCTGTGGTCCTAGCTACTCAGAAGGCTGACGCGGGAGGACTGCTTGAGCCCAGGAGCTGGAAGCTCTAGTGAGCCATGATCGCACCATTACACTCCAGCCTGGGTGATGGAGCAAGACCCTGCCTCAAACAAACCAGCCAAGTGACAAAAAAGCAGAGCCAGTGTGGGTGCAGGTGGATAAGGCTGGACAGAGTTGCAGTGGTCAAGGTGAGAGGTGATGGTGGCTCACATCTGACTGGTACAATTAGAGCTGGAGAGATTCTGGGATTTATTGATTTATTGATAAACGTAAAATTGGCTTGCTGTCAGCCCGGGTATAGTGGATGATCAGGAGAGGGGGTGGTCCAGTGATCACTGGCTCCCTGGCTCATGTGCCTAGTTTGCACAGAAGGGCTCACTGCAGACATGTGACCTGTGGGCTTCCAGGTGGAGTAGTCAAGGGGACAGCTGGAGATAAATACCTGGCTCAAGGGAGGGACCTGGGCTTGAGATGTAAATGTGGCAGAAAGATGGGAATCGGAGTCTGAGGGTAAAAGATAAACCAGGGAGCGAGTGAAGGTGAGAAGGGAGTCCCTGGGCGTGAGTCTGAAAGATGCCTATATTAACAGCCTGCTGTGGGGGTCAGCCTGCCAAGGAGCAAATTCAGGAGGGGGACACAGCCACTGAGCCCTGGAAGGTGATGCTCCAGAAGCTCTGATCAGGGCTTCCAATACGATGACAGATGGCCATTCAACAAAGGAGCACGAGGGGCCTGGAGCCCGTGAGATGGGAGTGTCCCTGCCTGCAAGGGAGCTGACTGGGACACCAGCATGCCCGCCGGTAGTCTGTTCGGTCCCCAAGGGTAAGACCGGGATTCAGGGAGAAGAGTTTTGTGACAATCAGCGGTGTGCCTGCTAGGGGTAGAGACAGGAGCGCCTATGCTAGGAACACCCAGCAGTCTCAGGGCAGTTCTGACTGGGGACACCAGGCATGCTTGGTGTTATCCAAGCTGGCCAGCCGGGATCGGCAGCCCTGGCTTCTGCAGCCCTGCTTTTAGAGATGGACTTTGTATCTTGCAGGTAGAACTGCCCCATTCCCTCCAGGACCTGTAAGGAGACAGAACTAAGTGCTCAAGCCAGCTGAGGGGGCGTGAGATGCTTCGGACCACTGTAGGGACTACTTGGGGAATCACAGGCTTCTTTTCATGGTGCCTTTCGCCCTGAGCCAGGATAAAGAAGGGGAGGGCAGGCATCTTCCCATACAGCAGCGTCGGGGTCTCCCCAATCCAACCTCCTCTTCCCCTACCCTAGGATGGCAGAGATTGTTGTAAGGGAGGCTGACCCCACAGCATGAAAACCCCAGGAGGAAGCCGGGGACCCCCAACCACTGGCAGGTTTGCAGTAGCCTAGAGGCCAAGGCTGGCCCCAGGCCACCATCCATGGAGCAGTCGTCTCTGCTGGGGAGCACCCTGGTGCAGAGACTGAGGTCTCGCAGAGCTGTGCTCCTCTCAAAGACAGCTGTACCCTAAACACCCCCTCCCTGGGAAGGAAGGAGAAGGACAGCTCTTTGCTGGGTGTGGGAGTGGAGCCAAGGTGGACTTGAGACTCTGGGCGGCTTCTGTGATATCTGAAGTTGCCTGTTGGTTTCTCCGTATCAGCGCGAGGCTCGAAGGTGAAGGGGCTGGGGAGGGGCTCCTGGAATCGCTCCTGCAACCTTCTTATTCTACAGATAGGACCAGTCCAGGGCCTGGGAAGCCTGCAACCCAGGACTGCGCACACACGAACCCCACCCCCCTTCCCGCTGGGGGAAGGCGGGCCAGGTCAAGTTGGGTCGATGTCCACACTGAGAAGAGGGAGGCCAGCATGCCCCAGGGTGCGCAGAAAGGCTCCACAGCGGAGGACTCTGGGTCCCAGGTTCATACGGGGTAGTTCCCCTCCTGGGGTGGAGTTAGTGCCTCTTGGGGTGGTGGGGGGTGAGGAAGCTAATCTATGCCCCAGCCCACCCTCAAGGGACTCGTCACTCCCACTGCTGTGGAACACCAAGCACCGGGGACCCTGTACCCAACGCCAAGGCAGCACAAGCTGCAGGAGGCAAGGAGCTGTGGAGACGGGCGGAGGAGGCGAGTGTCTTCTCCCAGCTCCTTTTCGGGTACATCTGTCCTCTCTCAGAGTCAGTTCCAAAGATCCCAAAGAGGGTGGCCGAACCCAGGGGCAGCTCCCAGAGTCATCAGCAGCTCCCCTTGGGGGATTTCTTGACGCCAGGCAGGAGCCTCGTGGAAGCTGATGCGCGCTTCTGGTGTCGCCATTTGGCCCGGCGGTTCTTGAACCAGACCTGGTGGGGGCGGGGGGGTGTAACGCTCAGCCCCAGCCCCAGGTCCCACGTCCCACCGGCTTCCTAGGGTCCCACAGGGCCCGGGAGGGGAGCTTCGCGACAGGGATGTGGGCGGACGCCTGTGCGCCACCCGCTCCTATCCGCTGCGTACAGACTCGGTGGGCTTGGACGTAGTATGGGAACCCCCTTCGTACCCGCCCCAGCCTCCGCCAGGCGGCGACCAGGACGCCCTTTCTTGGGTTCTGGGGTCTTCCGAATTTCCCAAATAACGGACGTCAATGTGCGCCCCTTCCGTCATCAAGAAAAAGGCGGGGAAAGGGTAAAACAAAAGTAACCCTCCCGTCCGGTTCAAGCGCCATCCGCCAGCCTTCACCCGCTCCTCGTCCACCCGGACGCCCAGAGCCGTGCGGGAGCCTCTTCCTTTGACGCTCTAGTGCGGTGCTTGCGCCGACGCGGTCTTTGCAAGGGCGTCCGCTCGCCAGGACCCCCGGGACCCCAGTGCAGTGCAGCCGCGGCCCGCGCGCGCTGAGGAGAGGCTGGGCGGGGCACCCACCTCCACGCGCTCCTCGCGAAGGCGGATGCGGCCGGCCAGGCGCTCGCGCGTGCCCACGTCGGGATACTGGTTCTGCACGAAGAGCGCCTCGAGCGCCTGCAGCTGCTCCTCGCTGAAAATGGTGCGGTGGCGCCGCGTGCGCCGCTGCGGGCCCTGGCCGACCGCGCCCGGCAGCGCCCCGGAACCTCCGGCTGGCACGCCCAGAGACAAGGGCACCGCGGGACCCAGCCTCAGCGGCCACGCCAGCCGCATGCCTGCGGGGCGAGGGCGCGGTGAGGTGCGGGGCGGGGGCCAAGCTCGGCACCCACCGCTCCGCGCCCAGGGGTCCCCAGCTGGGCTCGCGCCCCTCCCCTCGCCCACTCACCCAGCCCGGCTGCCGCCTCCGGGGGGCCGCAGGGAGCCGCGCGGGCGCCGCAGCAGCAGCAGCAGGCGCAGTGCGCAGTATCTGGCACCCCGTGCTCCTCCGGCTCCGCGGGGCTCTGGCGACTGGCGGGCTGCGGTGGGCAAGCGGCCCGGGCCGGGGGGCTCCGCTCCGGTAGGCTGGAGAGGATGTGCTCAATGGAGAAGGGGCAGGGCCGCCCGGGGCCCCTGCGGCTCGCCGCGCCCCCAGCTGCTGCCATGCCCGGCCCTGCGGCTGCCGCCGCCGCCGCGGGAATATATACGTCGAGGGGAGCGCGCAATAATCCCCGGGCCGGGCGCCCAGTCCACGCGGGTTAATCCCGCAGCGCCGGCCGCGAGCGCGCTAATCCCCGACTGCGGCGGCTCTGCTTCCGCATGCGGGGGTCGAGGGAGCTGCGGGGATAAACTCCCACCGCCCTGTGCCCCCGCCTGCGTCCTTCTGTCCCACCCGGACTCGCCGCTCATGAGCAGGGCGACTTGCGGGAAAAGGCGGAGGGCCGTCTCCCCGCCGCCTGCGGGACGTGGCAGTACCCCAGAGGGCACCCCGACCCTGGCAGCCACGCAGAGCGCGGCGGTGCCTCCTGGCCCAGCCTCTGGTGGCTCCCCCGCGTTCGGCAGGGCCTGGTTCTTCGTCCACTCTGGGGTCCTACCGTGGCGGCTCAGCACACCTGGAGAAGCCAAGCCTAGCCTCGCACCCGAAACTCCTGGACCACAGCCTTCATGATGCCCAACACCACTTGCAAACCCGCGTTCCCGCCGCGCTCGTGGGCCGGAACCTGCCCGTGTCCCGAACCTGCCAGCCACCTCCGATCCAGGGTCTCATGGCCCTGGAGGGCGTGGGAGCGTGGCGGGAAGCCTGGGCTGCCGGGAGCCCCCATTTCTGGGTCCCACAGGGAGGGCTGGGCATGGGAGCATCGCAGGGCACCCAGGGGATCCCTGGAAGATGCAGCATTCCTCCCGGTCCCCAGTATGAGCTGGGTTGGGCACTTGGGCCCGCCTGTGGACTCCTTTGCTTGCTGGCATGAGGAACCCAGGGTGACTGGGCAACTGTCATAATTTAGGTTTAACACAACCCTTACCATGACCCTGGTGATGGCACTCCCTGCCTCCCACCCCAACAGACCCAGAACCTAAATTTGTGAGGTTGGGAACACAACTACCCCTGGGGGATTACCAGAGGTCCTGAGGAGCGAAGCACACCTGGGGGTCAGACCAGTGCAGTCATCCATGGAAGCAGCACAGGTCACCCCACAGCTCCAGGTGCCCCTTCTGATGTCCACATCTCCTAACTTACCTCTTCTTTTTTTTTCAGAGACAGAGTCTCACTCTGTCACCCAAGCTGAAGTGCAGCAGTGTGATCTTGAGTCACCGCAGCCTCTGCCTTCCAGGTTCAAGCGATTCTTGTGTCTCAGCCACCTGAGTAGCTGGATTCCAGGCATGCACCAACATACCCAGCTAATTTTTTGTATTTTTATCAGAGACAGAGTTTCACCATGTTGCCCAGGCTGATCTCGAACTCCTGATGTCAGGTGATCTGCCCATCTCGGCCTCCCAAAGTGCTGGGATTACAGCCATGAGCTACCACCTCCGGCCTTCATCTGTTACCTTCTAATCTTGCTCTGTCCAGGTTCCTGAACCAACCAGCTCAACCATTTGCTACTGCCGGTGGGTCTACACTGTTTTTGTACAGTGTAGATGGCACAGTGCTCACAGAAATTGTCGTTTGGGGGGCTTTGCCCTCATGCTCCACCGCTGTTCAGGGCCGCCTGAGTGAGCTGTGGGGCAGATGTCATCAGTGAGGACACATGGGACGGCAGTCGCCTGCTTTCACAGCTTACGTGTGTCCTCTGGACTTGCTGAGAGCCGATCCTGGTAATGCCACTGTGGTTGCGTGATGGTACCTTAAGACCTGGTGGCTCACACCGTAATTCCAGCACTTTGGGAGGCCCGGGCAGGAGGAGTGAGTGCTTGAGCTTAGGAGCTGGAGACAGCCTGGACAACATAGCAAGACCTTGTCTCTACAATAAAGAAAAAATTATCTGGGTGTGGTGGCATGCACTTGTGATCCCAGCTACTCAGAAGGCTAAAGTGAGAGGATCTCCTGAACCCGGGAGTTCGAGGCTGCAGTGAGCCGAGATCACACCACTGCACTTCAGCCTGGGCAATATAACAAGACCCTGTCTCAAAAAATAAAATAAATAAGGCTGGGGGTGGTGGCTCTCCCACCCAACACTTTGGCAGGCCAAGGTGGTGGATTACCTGAGGCCAGGAGTTCGAGACCAGCCTGGCCAACATGGCAAAAACCTGTCTGTACTAAAGATATAAAAATTGGAGGGTCGCTGGGTGGGGGGTTGAGAAAGAAAACTAAATAAATAAAAGATACAAAAATTAGCTGGGTATGGTGGCAGGTGCCTATAATCCTAGCTACTCGGGAGGTTGAGGCTGGAGAATCGCTTTAACCCAGAAGGCGGAGTTGCAGTGAGCCAAGATTTTACCACCACCTTCCAGCCTAGGTAACAGAGCAAGACTCTATCTCGGAACAAAAATAAAATAATGACCCAGTGAGTGGCTCTGGCAATACCCAGCTCCAATGAGCCTTCTCGTCACTTGGTAGCCCGTTGTCAGATGCCCAGTTCCTGCCAAGGCCCAGGAACATGGAAGGATTTGTTTTGTGAATGGTGTGTGGCATGGCCTTGCTCCAGAACCCTAGGAGTGGCACTGCCACCCTTCCGCTGCAGCCTGCTGAAAGCCCCACATGAAACCTTTCTCTGCCAAGCATTGGCCATGGCTCTGCAAATTCACAGGGTCAGGCTCAGGGCTGCTGGTGCCACAACCTGGAGCTGCAGCAGACCCCGTCCTGCCCTGGGCTCTACTCGAAGCTGGCATCCTCTGTGTCACCGACAGATTTCTTGGGCAGGATTCCCAAGTTTTTTCCGCCTCCAAATCACAAAGCTTTACCCTGTTGTGCTCTTTCGTAGTGGTAGGAGGGGCTGTGTGCTTGCCCTTTGCTTTCAAGAGGGTGCCGCTGGGCTCCCAAAGGCGTGCTTTATTTGTTTCTTCTTCATTGTTGGGTTGTGAGAGTTCTTTGTATATTTAAGATACTAGTCCCTCATCAGATATATGATTTGCAAATATTTTCTGTGGGCTGTTTTTCCTTTTTTTTTTTAATTCTTTTTTCTATTTTTTTTTTTTTTTTAGAGATGGGGTTTCACCACGTTGGCCAGGATGGTCTCGATCTTCTGACTTCGTGATCTGCCCGCCTCAGCCTCCCAAAGTGCTGGGATTACAGGAATGTGCCACCTCGTCCGGCCTTACTCTATTTTTTTTCTGAGACAGAGTCTTGCTCTGTTGCCCAGGCTGGAGTGCAGTGGCATGATCATAGCTCACTGCAGCCTTGACATCCTGGGCTCAAGCCATCCTGCCACCTCAGCCTCTCAAGTACCTGGGAACACAAGTGCGTTCCACCATGCCTGGCTAATTTCTAATACATATATATATATGTATGTATTTTTTTTTTTTTTTTTGTAGAGATAAGGTCTGGCTGGTGTGATGCAGTGTCTCATGCCTGTGATCCCAGTATTTTGGGAGGCTGAGGTGGGTGGATCAGCTGAGGTCAAGAGTTTGAGCAGCCTAGTCAGCATGGCAAAACCCTGTCTCTACTAAAAATACAAAAATTATCTAGGTGTAGTGGCATAGTCCTGTGTCCCAGCTACTAGGGAGGCTGAGGCAGGAGAATCACTCGAACCCAGGAGTCAGAGGTTGCAATGAGCTGAGATCATGACACTACACTCCAGCTGAAATTACCCAGCTTTAACGAGCCTTCTGGTCACTTGGTAGCCTGTTGTCAGATGCTCAGAGTGGGACTGTCTCAAAAATTATTTCAAGACAAGGTCTGGCTGTCTTGCACATGCTGGTCTCAAACTCCTGGGGTCTAGCAGTCCTTCTACTTCGGCTGCCCACAGTGCTGAGATTACAGGTGTGAGTCATTGCATCTGCTGGTTTTTTGCCCTTTTTTTTTTTTTGAGACAGGGTCTCACTATGTTGCCCAGGCTGGTCTCAATCTCCTGGGCTCAATTGATCCTCCAGCCTCAGGCTCCTGAATAGCTGGAAGTCCAGACGCTCACCAGCATGCCTGGCTTCAGCTGGTATTTTGATAGGAGTCACATTGAATCAGTAGATACATCTTTGAAGCAATGCCATCTTAACAATATTTAACTCTTTCAAGGCATCAACATTAGATGTCTTCCATTTACTTAGAGTTTTGATCTCTTTCAACAATGTTTTGTAGTTTTCAGAGTTTAAGTTTTTCACTTTGTTTACATTTATTCCCTAATATTTTGTCCTTTTTGACATTATTGTAAATAGAGTGGTTTTCTTTTCTTTTCGAGTCTCACTCTCTTGCCCAGACTGGAGTGCAATGGGGTGATCTTGGCTCACGGCAGCCTCCGCCTCCCAGGTTCAAGTGATTCTCCTGCCTCAGCCTCCCGAGTAGCTGGATTATAGGTGTGCACCACCATACCTGGCTAATTTTTGTATTTGTAGTAGAGATGGGGTTTCATCATGTTGGCCAGGCTAGTCTTGAACTCCTGACCTTGTGAGCTGCCTGCCTTGGCCTCCCAAAGTGCTGGGATTACAGGTGTGAGCCACCATGTCCGGTCGGAGTAGTTTTCTTAATTTCATTTTTGTGTTGTTTATGGCAAGTGTCTAGGAAGACAATTTATTTATTTATTTATTTTTGAGGAGTCTCCTGTTGTCCAGGCTGAAGTGCAATGATGCAGTCTCCGCTCACTGCAACCTCTGCCTCCCAGGTTCAAGTGATTCTCCTGCCTCAGTCTCCCGAGCACCTGGGATTACAGGCACGCACCGCCACGCCTGGCTAATTTTTGTATATTTTTAGTAGAGATGGGTTTTTGCCATGTTGGCCAAGCTGGTCTCAAACTCCTGACCTCAGGTGATCCACCAGCCTCAATCTCCCAAAGTGCTGGGATTGCAGGTGTGAGCCACCGCGCCCAGCCTAGAGCTTTCAATACAATGCTGAGTTGAAGTGGCAAGAGTGGACATCCTTGTGTTGTTCCTGATCTCAGAGGAAAATGATTCGGTCTTCACCATTAAGTGTGATGTAAGCTGAGGATTTTTCACAGGTGCCCTTTATCTGGTTGTGGATGTGTCCTTCTAGTCTTGGGATTAAACAACACGATCCACTGGTTTTTGCAGGAGCCAGATAATGTATTAAACTGGGATTTGTTAAGGACCACGTTGCAACCTCCATTCAATCTTTATTTATTTATTTTATTTATTTTTTTGAGACGGAGTTTCGCTCTTGTTACCCAGGCTGGAGTGAAATGGCGCGATCTCGGCTCGCCACAACCTCCGCCTCCTGGGTTCAGGCAATTCTTCTGCCTCAGCCTCCTGAGTAGCTGGGATTACAGGCATGTGCCACCGTGCCCAGCTAATTTTTGTATTTTTAGTAGAGATGGGGTTTCACCATGTTGGCCAGGATGGTCTCGATCTCTTGATCTGCCCACCTCGGCCTCCCAAAGTGCTGGGATTACAGGCGTGAGCCACCACATCCAGCCTATTTATTCTTTTTGAGACAGGGTCTTGATCTGTCGCCCAGGCTGGAGTGCAATGGGTTCCACCCATTGCAACCTCACCACGCTGGGCGCTGGCAATTCCCTTGCCTCAGCCTTTCAAGTAGCTGGGACTGCAGGCATGCACCGTTGTGCCTGGCTAAATTTTGTATTTTTTTGTAGACACACCTGTCATCTCGCTATGTTGCCTAGGCTGGTCTCAAACTACCGGTCTCAAGCGATCCCAGAGTGCTGGGATTACAAGGTGTGAGTAGCTGTGCCCAGCTGGCCTCTCAGACTTTACTGAGGCCTCTAAGCTCTGCTATCCTTCCTGGATAAAAGCATTGGCTTCTAACTTGGTAGGGGGCAGTTCAGGAACTTTCATGTCACCTTTATTGCAGAATATGTGTCACTCTTGAGAACTAAAAGTAAAATCCTAAGCACTCCCACAGCCTGAAAAGACCCCCTCCCCTATGACCAAAGGGACCCCAGAGAAACTTGAAAAACTGAGTTAACAGCCATGACAGGATGGAAGGTCAGACGCGCCTCACTGTACCCTGCCCCCTTTTGCCCCTTTTGTGGTTTAGAAACAACAACGGACCAACATTAATGTTAAAATAGAGATGATAAGACCGACAGAACAGGCTCTGCGGCAAAAAGACAGCAAATTATAGATAGGACCAAAGACCACGCCAGGCAAGGGGTAAGTCACACGTCCCTACACTTAAAGAAGAAACTATATTCTGTCACAGGTTTTCTTTTTCTTTTTTTGTTTTTTAGATGGAGTTTCTCTCTTGTTGTCCAGGCTAGAATGCAATGGTGCAATCTCGACTCACCGCAACCTCTGCCTCCCAGGTTCAAGCAATTCTCCTGCCTCAGCCTCCCGAGTAGCTGGGCTTATAGCCATGTGCCGCCGTGCTTGGCTAATTTTATATTTTTAGTAGAGACGGGGTTTCTCCATGTTACTCAGGCTGGTCTCGAACTCTTGACCTCAGGTGATCCGCCCGCCTCAGCTCCCAAAGTGCTGGGATTACAGGTGTGAGCCACTGTTCCTGGTGGTTTTTTTTTTTTTTCCTCTAGCAGTTAAACAAGCACTGGCCTCAAGATGAACGATATTAAAACAATCACAATTCAACCACCACCAGACACTAATTGACCCTCCTGTTCTACAAGCCACCGCTACAGCTTTGATAGGACAAGAGACTGGTTTTAGCAACTTCCTTCTGATAACAAGAACAGCCACCCCAGACCGGCTCTGGCTGGTTTACAGAGGCTGTGCACTTGCGTGCCTTCATGTCAGTCCCCGCTTCACCTTTTTTTTTTTTTTTTTTTTTGAGACAGAGTTTCGCTTGTTACCCAGGCTGGAGTGCAATGGCACGATCTCGGCTCATCACAACCTCCGCCTCCTGGGTTCAGGCAATTCTCCTGCCTCAGCCTCCCGAGTAGCTGGGATTACAAGCACGCGCCACCACACCCAGCTAATTTTTTGTATTTTTAGTAGATGGGGTTTCACCATGTTGACCAGGATGGTCTCGATCTCTTGACCTCGTGATCCACCCGCCTCGGCCTCCCAAAGTGCTGGAATTATAGGCTTGAGCCACCACACCCGGCCTCTTTATTTATTTATTTGAGACAGAGTCTTGCTGTTTTTACCGAGACTGGAGTGCAATGACGCAATCTCAGCTCACCACAACCTCCTCCTCTCAGGTTCAAGTGATTTTCCTGCCTCAGCCTCCCAAGTAGCTGGGATTCCAGGCTCCCGCTATGATGCCTGGCTAATTTTTTGTATTTTTAGTACAGATGGGGTTTCATTATGTTGTTTAGGCTGGTCTGAAAGTCGTGACCTCAGGTGATCCACCCATCTCGGCCTCCCAAAGTGCTAGGATTACAGACACGAGCCAGGCAGTTTTTTAAGTTCTAAAATTATACTATTTACCCCTAGCACCAAGATTGTAGTCTCAAAATACCATTGCCCAATGAAAGGAAACAAGGCTTCCTGGACAAAATGCTGATTCCAGGTCTAGGCCAGAAATGTGTAAGGAGCCTGGAACATATTATCACTCTGGATAGCAAAGAATCTATAAAGATTATTAGGATGATTTCAACATGTGTAAAGGGCCCATCTGAAGGGCCTCCTTCTAACCAAAGATAGGACATTTTGTACATTAGTAAGGATAATAGTTGCAGTGAATTGAGATATATCAGATATGTTTGAATATCTGCATTCATAATGATCCTTTTGAAAAAAAAAAAGTGGGCTGGCACAGCTCCTTGTGGCTGTAATTTCAACACTCTGGGAGGCTGAGTTAGGAGGATCACTTCATTCAGGAGTTCAAGACCAGCCTGTGCAACACAGGGGGACTTTGTCTCAACAAAAGATTTTTTAAATTACTCAGGTTTGAGGGCCCGTGTCTTTGGTCTCAGCTACTCAGGAAGCTGAGATGGGAGGGTCACCTGAGCCTAGAAGTTTGAGGCTATAGTGGCATGACTGCTTGTCTGCATACCAACCTGGGCAACAAAGCTAGACCCTCCCTGTCTAAATAAATTCATTAATAGAAGTGGTGACCATTGAAGGATATAAATGAAACAGCCCATGATTTTGAAAAATGGTCAACAGAAGAAATGAAGCCATGAACTGGTGTTTTCTATGTAAGTTGTACAAGTGAGTAACAGTTCATAAGAAGCACCATCTCCTTTTTTATATTTACTTTTTTTTTTTATCATGCACGGCCCTTCTTAGGGTAGCAGTATCTCTTTCCGGAAGTGTGGCAGCTCATAAACAAAGAAGGAATGATACAACAATGCCTTCATTGTTCAATCCGTAATTTATCAATGGCCATTAACGTCACCGATTAAAAAAAAAGATGTCCAGAGAGTACACACCTCCTCCCAGAGGAAACTAGCGCAGCCTTTTTGCCCTGACCCTGAAGTCCAACCTGAATCTCACAAAGTCTTGAGATCAAACTACTAATTTATCAAAACTAGAACAAAGTGAAGAGCAAGTTAACCAACATCAGAAGATACAATTAGCGAAATTCACAGTATGAGAACCAGCATAATGAGAATACACTTAGCTTAATTCAAACTATAGGGAAATGGCCATATTTATTCAATAAATGGACTGCAAGGGACAGCACAGAGATGAAAGTGGGAAGCTGTCAGGATCAAAAAAACCCTAAGAGGTGAATCACACAATCTCAAAGAGAGACTTTATTTGGATCCTGATTCAAACAATAAATATGATTCGACTGAATCATATGATTCAAACATGAAACGACTGGAAATTTGGAGCTAGAAGGAGAGTTGACAGTGATAAAGAGCAATGGTGTGAGATGGTTGGTTGATGATTGTATTGGGATTATATTTTTTAATGAGTTCTTGTCTCCAGGCACGGGCGGTTCACACCTATAATCTCAGTAGTGTGGGAGGTCAAGGTGGGAAGACCCTTTGAATCCAGGAATTGTAGACCAGCCCAGGCAACATAGCAAGACCCTGTCTCAACTAAAATACAAATAAAAAGATGAGCTGGGCATGGTGTGAGTCTGTAGTTGCAGCTACTCAGGCAGTTGAGGCAGGAGAGGCCACAGTGAACCAAGATCATGTCACTGAACTTCAGCCTGGGTGACAGAGACCTCATGTTGAAAGAACAAACAAGAATCGTATCTTTTACAGACATCCACCAAGATGGTCAGGGAGGAAATTCTATGATGTGTGGGGTTTGCTATAAAATCACGAGAGGAAGAGGAGAAGCATGTAGGAGCATACATGTAACGCGATCGGCCGTCAGATAACAAATACCTGCATCTGCTGCTGAGTAGGTGGAAGCTCACTACACTAGCCTCTTGTTCCAAAAAGCTCTAGAATAGAAAGTTTGTCTAAAAATCCACTTCAGGGATTTGTAACAAGCATTGAATAAGATCGTGTATACAGAGTGTTTTCTCACCACGGCTTGCAGGTAGTCAGCACATAAACATGGTTTTTAGTTTTGTATAGTCCCCGTCCATGAATCACACCCAAAAAAGGTATGTTGTTCACACCAAGAGCTCTGGCCCGCGGACCTTTGTCCACTTGGTGGTAATTTATTAGAATCTGAGGTTTAGAATGAGGAAATGCCAGCCCTCAAAGCCCCAGGCCTGCTATGAAATAGCAAAGCCAATGGTCCCAGATGCCTTCATAGCACACCTAGTAAGCAGGATCCTTTTCTCTCACCTTGTAGGCACACTTGAGTCCATGCACTCATTTTTCATTCATTTCTTATATGCCGTGTATTGGGTACTCGGGATCCATAATACAGTGGACCCACAATTGACTGGAAGCATCGCTTTCAAAGCATCATTTCAGGATGAGTATTTCGTGTCAAGTGGATTCAAGGAACAGTGCGAAGGATCCATGGCCTCAGTCACCATGAAGAGCCTCCCAAGAGCCAACCTTCCTGGGCACATGTAAGTGAGTGGAGACATGGAACTGACCCTTACAAGGCCTAGAACCTGACAGATCATACAACACAGAAGCCCAGATAACTAAGAATGGGAAGCTGAAGGTGAGAGGTGGGCCCCAGAGGATTCTGTGAAAATGCTTTGTGTTTGTGGATTTCTCACGCAGAATGAAACCTTTGTTTTTATTCACAGGTTAGACACACTCTCCATATAGAATCTATGAAGGGACATTGCTGAATTTTTTGAGGCCTATAGTGAAAAATGGATTATCTCAGGCAGCTCAGGATGAATAATGCAGTCACCAAGAGGGGCAGGGTGGCCACAGGTGGCCAGCAGCAGGAATGGGCATTGTGAGCCATTGGATGGGGTTGTGAGAAGTGGCATTGTGAGTCACTGGCCTGACTTTGTTGTTTCCTGGCAATCAGGTGACATAGGAGGCTTTGTGGGGGACAGGCATCAGCCAGGACCAGCAGCCTTCAGTCGGAAGCTGGTAGTGGGAGGAGGAGGAGCTCTGACTATTCTCATGGAAGTGTTTGTGCCCTTGGCGCTTGCTCTGTTGCTTTGTTTTTTTCTTTATTTTATTTTGTTTTGTCTGTTGCTTTGTTTCTGTTTATTTTGCATGTTGCTTGGTTTTGTTATTTTTCTTTCTTTTTTATTTTGTGTTGCTTTGTTTTGAAAGTCTCCTTATAGATAACCCATGGGGAATTGTCTATGCCCCAGCGCTGGCCCCAGTTGTGCCTGCTGTGAGCCTTGTGGCCAGTCTGTGGCATCTACCACTGCAGAGCCTGCCATGTTACATCTTGGAGTGGTGGAGGTCCTCGACACTCAGCCCATAACATCGAAGAGGTGCAAAAGTAAAGAAGCCACAGGCGCCATTTGCTCTCTGGCACATCTCTGGCCACCCCCTCCCCACCTCCTTCCCATCCCGTCACCCCAGAGACATCCTCAGCTTCCAGCTCCCTCCTGCCTATAACCAGCTTTCCCGGGGCTGGGCATGGGGGACAAAGGCTAGTCCTGCCTCTTGTCTTCGTTGTTGAGCCTTCTTGCTTGAGGCCTTTTTGGTCTAGTCTCTCCCTTTCCCCGATGAAAATTCAGATACTCCAGTTTTGGAGTCTCCATCCCATTCTCTAGCCTTAGCTGTCCAGCTATAGTGGACATATTGTGCCTGCTGTGAGCCTTGTGGCAAGTCTGTGGCATCCACCACTGCAGAGCCTGCCGCATAGCCTGCCGCGTTACATCCCGGAGTGGTGGAGGTCCACGACGCTCAGCCCATGGTTACAGGTTCCAAAAGAGATGGCACCTCAGTGAAGGAGCCGGTTAAAGGCCCAATCATTTCTTTTCTCCTATTCGATAGAGAAGTTAATAATTGGGATAATTCAGACTCAAATATTTGGAGACTTGTTAAATTTGAAATAGAGTTTGCCATGGAAGAGATTATATGGTGTTCTTAATAGATGGTTTGAAGTCACCTTGACAGAAGCAGCTTTATGTCTTCCAATTGTAATTTGAAAACCAAAGGAAAAATTGAGGGACATGCTTAAAATGACTGCAAAAGGTATGAAATGTTACTGCCCGAGCTGTAAAAAAGCTGTTTTTGTTGTGGTTTTACCCAAAAGTTTAGCCGTGGAGCTCTGATTACTTTAACATTCCCACTTTGACATGAACGTCTCTTCAGCCCTACTCCAGTAACTTCACGGGCTTAGTTTACCTCCTTGTTCTGAAAGACAGGTAGAGCTAGCTCATGGTTACAGGTTCCAAAAGAGATGAAATGACTTTAGACTTGAATTTGGAAGGTAAAGACTTGGAGTTAGAAGGCCAGACCCTGCCTGTGGAAAAGAGTTTGTTTTCATGGCTCCCCTTCCTACAGGATGGAAAAGGGGAGGAGAGAGGAAACATTTCATGTTTTTGCTTATGGTCAAATTGAAGACAAAAACTAACACTTGTAAGACAGGAGAGGAGCATTTAGGTACAAAATCAGTCAAACATTTGTGTATCACTACGTTCATTGAGCAAATGGAAGCTACCAGACTCAGAAAACCAGAGATGCTAATGGAACTGACATTAGTAACCAGGGTTTTCTACTGAGTTCAGTGCCCAGGGTGACTTTTAATAACACCCACCCTCCCCTCCACACACACACACTTTTCTCAGGACTGGAAAGCTCAGGCAGCCCAGGATGAATAATGCAGTCACACAGAGGGGCAACTGTGGTCACCAGCAGGGATGGGCATTGTGAGCCACTGTGTAGAGCAGGTACTTACTGTAAACCCTGCCTATAGGTAAAAAGATTTTAATGTAAAAAGACCTTCCCTATGGTATACACGCCCTCGGTCTGAGGGCTGTGAGGGGTAATGGCACAGGGATCCACCATCTTGTCTTGCCACCACTCAAGACACAGACATGGCTTCTGTTTCTCAGTCCTTATTAAATGTTTCTTTCTAAGAAAAAAAAAATAAGCTGGTACTTCTACATAAAGGAGAAGTATGGAGCTGTAAAAAAGAGTAAGATGTCTTTTTATTGCTATGGAGTGATTCCCAAGATAGGGTACGCAGAAAAGCAAAGAGAACATGCAGTAATATACACGAAAGAAAGCAGGCGAAATAATGTGTATTTCATTATTTAAAAATAAAAGCCAATGTTGGGGAAGTCTTGATGATGACCTGTGACAGTTTCCTTCTAACTTCACTGGGCAGCCAAAGTGCATATTTTCTCAAAATTTCATTTTGCTATGGGTTCTGCAGAGGACGCTAACTATGCACTTTTCGCCTTTGAGTTAGAGAAAACTTCGCTTTGTGATTCATTGTGCATTACGTGGTATACAGACTGCTCTTTCATTTTATTCTATCCTCTCAATGTTTTGAGTCAGGTGTAAAATGGGAATTATACTGTGTTACATATGAGGAGGCTGGTTCTAAGAAGAAGACTCAGTACATCAAGAGTGTAAGTTCTAGATTTATGGCATATAAAACTGGAATTTACAAAAGGGCATGCATATGACCTGCTTTAAATAGTACCTTTTCTAAAAAAAAAAAAACTTTTTTTTCTTAGCTTACTAAAGCAATTAAGCCTCAGGATGAAAACAGCAATATTAGATAATGAGAAATAAAATGGGGATACTTGTGACACAGTAATGCTTTTTATTGTGAAAAGACAGGGTCTTGCTTTGTCACCCAGGCAGTGGTGTGATCATAGCTCACTGCAGCCTCAATCTTCTAGGCTCAAACGATCTTCCCACAACAGCCTTCCATGTAGCTAGGGATACAAGGGCTCACCGCCACATCTGGTAATTTGTAGATTTTTTGTAGAGACGAGGTCTCACTGTGTTGCCCAGGTTGGTCTCAAACATCTGACCTCAAGCAGTTCTTCTGCCTTAACCTCCAAAACTGTCAGGATTACAGCCATGGGCCAGCACACCTAGCCCAGAAATGTTCCTAAAAGTCTGAAACAATAAGTTAAATGCTATTAAGAAATATGTAAAAAGATAAACATATACTATGGCATATGAAATGTCACCGTTCAGTCATGGTCACAACAGTGATTAAAATATCCAACAGTTGAGGCAAGTCTGAGAACAGAGAGGGACGTACAGGATTGGTTTGGAAGCCAGAATTAGGATTGTCAGAGCTGGGAAAGCAGAAGCAAGGCAAGAGTGTGTGCAGGAGTGGGGCACACAGCCGCTCCGTGGTATGCCGTGTCCTCTTTTACGGCAGGCCAGCTCCAGCCCAGCAGATGAGAATCACCTGATGGGTGGAAAGAGTGGATTCAGGTAAAATCTCAGACCGTGCATCATAACTGAGAGACTTAAAATGTTTGCCTTATGGGTCATAAAACTACTAAAAGTGACAACATAGGGATAATAGAGTAGGTCAGTAACTGCGGTAAGCCACCTGCCACCTCTCCATAGCCTCAACCATCCCACAGAAACACTGGGGCAGCAGGATTTCACGGAGCTTGTGAGAATAGCTCTCGGTCCAGGGTCCCGGGCATGATCTAGAGGACTCAGGTGTTCCGGGATCTCTCTCCCCAGGGAACCAACCGCATGATTACCTCAGACCTATCATTCCTCACTGTGGTGACTCTGGGCAAGTCATTCAAAATGTCTGAGTTTTAATTCACTGAATTTGAAAATACGGGTTGTAGCCCCTTCCCTGCCTGTCCCTTGGGCTGACTTGGGGATCAGGGAAATCACAGATCTCTGTCATGAGCTGGAAATCATGTGGCCATGGAAACTGTGAAGTCACTTTCCATCCTAATCCTGTGCAGACATGCAAGCTCCCTCTCTGTAGTCAACCACTACCAAGTATCTGGATTATTCTTCCCGACATTGATTGAACATTTTAGGACATTTACAAAAACATGAGTCTTTTTAAGTCTTTATCTGCATTTCATCCTTTTAGACACTATAGACCTTAGTAGGTCTATAGCCTAGATCTACTAACATTTCCACATCTGAGAATAGGGAAGAGAGGCACAGATGGGTTCATATCCCTCTCCCAGGTATGTGCAGATTCTAAGTAGGATTTGAACCCAGCCTATTTTTTTGGTAACTTGGAACTTCTGCTTTTCTATATTGTCTCATCTGAATAAAGGTACCTGCCTGTACAAACAAATCTTCCTAGAACCCAGATCGAATTCAGGTAGCATTGAAAAGCAGTCAGTGAAAACTAGGATCAAAAGTTTAAACTGAGAATGTTTTTACTGATTTCTCTGTGGTCCTCTGCCAGCAAGGTGTCAAGCACTGTCTTTATTATGATACATTTCTGCCTTGCAGGTTTGGCTGGCCGCGCCAGGAGCTGGGCAGCAAAAAAAAAAAAAAAAAAAAACGAGGTGTAAGAAAATTTGCCCCAATGAAAATGAAGGTAGGGTGGAAATTATATCATTAGGTTGATTGAAGCAAATAATTTCAGTTTACTCATCCAGTGTCCCATATGAGAGAAACTCAGTAAATGCTGTGTCAGTTTCTTCATTTATTTCATTTGTGCCCATTGAAATGCATTTAATCAACGGGTGATGCAACTACACAAGGAAAGTTACGTTGACAACTTAGAGTTTGGTTCTTTTTGTTTCTTTATTTTTGTGAGAAAGTCTCATTTTGTCACCCAGGAGTGCACTGGTGCAATCACAGCTCATTGCAATCTTGACCTCCCCATGTTCAGCTGATCCTTCTACCTCAGCCTCCCAAGCAGTTGGCTGTAATGCACATGCTTTATACCTGTTTGGAAAACTCTGTCCCTGTCGTGAAAGCCCTCCCCCTCCCACACAAAGGGACTCCCTTATCTTTCACTCTACATACGGTCCTGGCCTTCCCGCCCGGCCACAGCCACCTCCCGCCTGGCAACCGGCTGACCAATCACCACCCGCCTCATCAGCTCTCCCCAACTTCCTGCCTCCAGGCTTCCTGCCTCCCAGTTTCCCACCGCCCGGCTTCCCCGCCCAGCGGTTTAAACTGACCAACCATTGCCCGCCACCTCGGCTCTCTCGGCTTCCCCACTCCCTCAGCCCTTCAGCCCCCTATAAAAGGACTCTGCTCCTCTGAGCCACGCGGCCATTTTCCTGTTCTTCCCGGCTGGTCTGGTCGGAGGGTCTTTCCTCTCAATAAAGCCTGAACTTAAGACTTTCTTCTAACCTGTGGCCCGGTTTTTTCTGAACGAGCTCTGTCTTCCCATAGAGGGTAGGTCGGACAATACCAAGCTATTTTTTTTTTAATGTTACTTTTTTTGTAGAGACAGGATTTCACCATGTTGCCCAGGCTTCGTTCACTTTTGATAGTAAAGGACATCTCGAATATTTAGACGTTTGCTTTCAGTTTGGGCGATTATGAATACAGCAGGTATAAACCTTCTTTTGTCTTGTTTGGAAACATAATTTTTACAATGTAACTAAGGCAATGCTAAAATTATGGTTACTTGCTTGTATGGTAAGACTACCTTTCTTTGTAAGAATTTTGGTAGAATTTACTGGTGAATTCCTCTGAAGGTAGTTTTTTTTGTTTTTTTTTTTTTTATAAGAAGATACTAATTATTGATTCAATTTCTAAAATAAATATAGGCCTATTCAGATGAACTGCAGTTATTACCCTGAGGAGGATGGCTCTCAAGCCTCCCATCACAGGTAGCCATAGCTTGGTTCCCTCGCACATGCTAGTCCTAGGTTTACTTGAGTCTATGGAGATCCCAAACACTGTCTATGATTCCAAGATGGCCACAGCAGTCAGGTGGCTTAGGGCAGACAACAGTGACTGTAACTGCAGGATATGGCACAGCCACTGGTGCACTGGTGTGAATACTGCAGAGCGGCCCCAGATGCCTCTGACAACAGGGTCAAATGCAAGTTCTGAATTTTAGGAAGCAGTACTTGGAAATATTGAGAAACTCCTTTCAGTGCTGGGGACATTCCTCAGCAGTTGGCCCCAGACAAATAAGATGAGATATTTTTGAGATAGTTGAGAACTCTTACCACCACAAGACCTAGAAATGATCAAATCCTGCAAACTACATTCACTAGACACAGTGCCAATTAAGACAGCAAAAAAGCATTGGGTTACTAGTTCACCACACTCACTGCAGCTCCGCACTGCAGTTAAAACACGTCAGCATCCAGCCCGTGTCTCCCTCCCTGAAATAAACTATGCTCGATGGACTGGCGAGTACAAAGATAGGTCTGCTCCATGGGCAATTACTGCACATGCATGACGAAGGAAAGGGGGACTGAGGAAGGAACTGTCGTGTGATTAACACCGGTTGTTTTATAGAATATAATTTCAATATTTCCAATTCTTCCATCATCGACTATAACAAACGTTTAGTACATAACTACAATAGACTGTTTCGCCTAGAATTGAATCCATCGGTCTGTTCAACTTAGCTTTTATTCAAGCATTGAAAATTCTAAAAAATAGAACTGCTGTAATGCAGAGGCGCTGTCCTCAACACGTTTTCCTCCTTGGATTTAGCACTGTGTGTTTGCCCATTAAATCAACTTTAAAGGTGAATTCTGTGAATCAAGACCTTATTTTTCCAAAACGTCCTCATGGTTTTGGGGATGTTGACCTGTGGCTCAGCCGCTGTGTCACTTCTGGTCTTCTACCCTTGCTAAGGGAATAACAGAGCTATGTGAGGTGCACCGCAGAGTCTCAGCCTCATAATGTTTTCTTTTGTCTAATTGCAGAGAACGTCTCAGGAAAGGGTGACAAGTAAGCACCATGAAGTAACTCTCATCGTGGGCGACCAACCTGCCACTTGAGTGTATAGAAACCTGATTCAGGGATCCCACTGGGAAGGAAGATTGGGGGTCTCCTGAGAGAGTGATTTAGCCAATATAGAACTCCAGCCAGAGAGACTGTAGGAAGGTTTATCAACTCAGAACAAAGACCAGGGAATGACGTGTGAGGCCGCGTGGCTTCAGCTGGAGGAAGAGGAGTGGGTGAGTCACTCTTTCTAATGACTTTCCTGATGTTTTTGTTTCTAAAGGCTGGCTTCTTGGAGCGTCTTCAGAGTCAATGAAGATGACCCCCAAGGTAGGGAACTGCTTTCCAGGTAGGACCTAATGGGAAAGGGTTCCTAAGAGCCTTCAGGTTATCCCCGCTGCTTGAGGGGCTGAAGCAGGGGGTATGAAATCAGAAAGAAAATGAAAATGTGTGTGAGGTTTGGTTTTTATTTTCAAAGCATGTTGTCATAAAGGTAGGAACTGTGTCTCTGGGCTATGAGGGTGCTGTGATCATTAGAGATGATCTTTGCAGTACACCTGCTCTTTTCTGCCCAGTGAAGCATCAAAAACTTTGGTTTGGATTAATCAGCAATTCTGGGGATTGTGCACATAATAAGATATAAAACTAGTGGCACCCTGTATCCAGTCTGGGGCGCTTCATTAAGCCCAGACCTGAGTTTGGTTTTGTTATCCAGGTGTGCTGGGTTCTCTCAGCATGCGGGTCACATTCAGACTCAAACCCAGAACTGAGTTTGACGCTGTCTATCATTTGCTTTTCTTCATGAGAACCCTGAACACCTAACCATTGCCAGCACCCTCTTTTGAGACCCTCAACATCAAGGGTCTGGGAGAGAACATCTGAGAGGGTGAGAGGGCACTCCCTCCCTTCACTCCTTGAAGCTACAAGTGAAGACGTTTCTGGTTCATCCCTGAAGTTTCTCTGCCATGTTTACGTCGACCTCCTCCTTGGGAAAGGGAACTGTTCTGACTGCCAATGATTTGTTTAGACTTCCCCAGGTTTGGAACATTATACATAGAATAAGTCAATATGTATTTCTTGGTGTCTGGCTTTTTTGCTCATGTTATTTTAAAATTCATTCATGTTCTAAAGGGTGTTTTCTTACATGTCTGGTGCTCACCTGGGAGTGTGATTCTTATTTCAGTAAAAAGTAGCATAGACGTTTTCTTTCCTTTCATTTAGTAGCTTAATGATGGTGATTGGATGCCTGCCATCTTCCCAAGGTGAAGAGTTATTATCAGGGTGAGCTCAAAGTTATGTTACTGTATGGGATACCTCTGAGCCCACCGTGGGTCTACTTTATGGATGTTGACAATGACCCACCGTGCCTCTTCTGGATAACTTTCTGCTCTCTGTTCACACCTGGATAACTTTCTGCTCTCTGTTCACACCTGGATAACTTTCTGCTATCTGTTCACAATCTGTTCTGGGCACATCTTTCCCCTGCCTCATGCCTGAAGCTGGCCATTAACCCGAGTGGGCTGGTTCC